CATGGGCAGGGTGAACCCAGGAAGACCCTCTCTCTTTTTGTAACCACCCAGTGTTCTCCAGCTGTCCCTAGAGAAATGGTTTGTTCGTTTCTTAAAAGGTAACAAATGGCTCAATCTAAAGAGGAACCCCAATAAGGCTCGAAAGCAAGCTTTTCTTAGAATGTTAATTTATGCAAAAAACAGGCCAATCACCCCTTGTTTCCCCAGCCTTGAACCATAAATGTCTCTTGTACAGCCTTTCATTACACATCTATCTACGAGCATGGAAAGAACATGCAGCCAGCTCAATAATAGTCATGTATTAATCAAGTCAGTTCTGACTTATGGCAAAAACCCTTTTCAAGGTTTTCCAAGTAGAGACCGCTCAGAAGTGGTGTGCCCTTCCTTTCTTCTGGGGACGTCCTGGGATGGTGCAGCTGGCCCAAGGCCACCCAGGCTGGCTCTTCTCCCAGGAGGCCTAGTGGGCGAGAATCAAACTCCCAACCTCTGGTTCCGCAGCCAGAGACTTAAACCACTGACCTACGTAGCCAGCTATATCTAGGGAGGATCAACCATCATGCAATCCCTTTTTCCCCCATAGGATTTCTGTACAAAGGTCTGGACTAGCTAAAAGAGTGAGCGTCCATAGGATCTTGGCTGTCGTTTCCTAATGACAGTGAGTCCAGCTGATGATCGGCTGCCTAGACCCCTGCCCATCCAGGGGAAATAACAATGCCCTCTATTGTTATCACCCCTGGATTTGGGGCCCTTGAATTCCTTTTGTTCAGCTGCAGGCATTTGGCTGCCAGGTCTGCAGCAGAGTCAAAAGCCAGGCTCTCTCTCCTCTCCCCCCTTCAGTCCCGGGAAGGTAAGAGAGAAGCTGATCACTTTGTGCCGAAGGTTTCTGCTGAGGTTGCTGTTTTTTCCCCCTGTCTCGGGAAGGGCTCTTTCTAAAGTCACCTTTTGTTTCAAAGGGGAGGGCACGTGTGTGTTGTGTGTTGTGTGTTGTGTGTTGTGTGTTGTGTGTGTGTGTGTGTGTGTGTGTGTGTGTGTGTGTGTGTGTGTGTGTGTGTGTGTGTGTGTGTGTGTTTTTCCCTGGCCTCTTGCCACCCTTGCGGCTCCCGTCTGGCTTTTCAGTGCCAGTTTTGATCCTCGCTAAACAGGATCCCAACTTCTCCATAAAGCGGGTAAGGTGGTGTCTAGGGTGTGTGTCTTTGGGAAACTTAGGGTTTCTTAAAGAAATCTGCTTGTTACACTTCTGTTCGTTGCGCCATCGTTGCCTCCAACCTCGGGCGACTCCGTGAATGAGTCATCGCCAACATGTCCTGTCCTCAACTGCCCTTTTAAACTCAAGCCTGTGGCTTCCTTTAGACAGCCAGTCCATCTCGTATTTAGTCTTCCTCTTTTCCTGCTGTCTTCCGCCTCTCCCAGCGTGATGGCCTTTTTCCAGAGCATCCTGCCTTCCCAGGATGTGCCCCAAACAGGACAGCCTCCGTTTCAACATTTCCTTCCTCCAGAGATAGTGCAGGGCTTGATCTGATCTCTGCTGTCTTGCTCTGATCCTTTCCTTCCATTTAGCAGGACTCAAAGCTAAAGGACAAGCTTCTGTATCTCATTTCCTCCCCCACTCTCACCCTTTAGAGCAGTGGCCCCCAACCTTGGGCCTCCAGATGTTCTTGGACTTCATGTCCCAGAAATCCTGGCCAGCAGAAGTGGTGGTGAAGGCTTCTGGGAGTTGTAGTCCAAGAATATCTGGAGGCCCAAAGTTGGGGACCACTGCTTTAGAGGAGTTGGACTACAGCTCCCATTATCCATGCCTGGGGGGCAGCAGGTTGAGGTAATATACCTTAACCAAATCTAGCCCGGACAGCATTTTTACTGTCGTACGGTGGCAAATATTTTTCAGGGAGGGTTTCCACATGTGATAAAGGGGTAAAGTCGATGAACCATTGTAACAGATATACAGATATAGGGTTTATGTGGTACCTGTGCTTGTTGCAGGCTTGGGTGGGTGGGTGGCGGGGGGGGAGAGCGGTGTGTGTGTGTGTTGAAAATTGCACACCAACAATAGTGTGTGTTTTTAAGCTGCTGACCCCTTCTCCCTAAAGCTCGCTTCTGTGATGGACGCATCGAGCCAAATCCTGACTATGAATCTAGCATATTAAATTTGGGGATCTTATCGAGTAAGACTACATGACGTAGTATTGTAGCCCGGTTTTCTGCCCTCTGGCTCACTGTGGCTCTCCAAGGATTTCCAAAATGTGCCTTTCCCATTTTGTCTCACCCGTATGTATATTTGTGTGTGTGAGTGAGTGAGTAATTTCATAAGAAAAATCACATCACAACAGTCATGTAATGGGAACAAAGTTATTTTGATTTTTGTAATGAGGAATACTTTCCAATGTACTTTTAAAATTCCATTTTGAAGGGTTCTTTAAAGCCTTTTTTAGAAGATTTTTTTCCCAATTGTGCGCCGTCTTCTTATCAGTTCCAAGGGTCCTCTCCCCCCCCCCTTTTTCTGGAAATAGTTCTGAAAAGCAGAGATTCTCACAAAGAGAGCCCACATTGTTGAGTCTTTTGGGAGTCTTAAAGCACTTTTCTTCTGTTTTTGCTATATATATATGGAGGAGACTCTGAACTGTTTATCAGGCAGGACCCGTCATGGGCTGTTGCCCACTTCATAAAATTTCAGCAATAGCAGGAAACCATGTTATGCCTGATTAAAACTTATTAGCCTAAGGTCTAAAAGACTCTTTGCTGTTTCTACAAAGTAGAGGGCAATGCAAGAGGTCGGACAGTGAGTAATTTTAAAAAAAGTCATTGTAATAAATAATGATAAGCAGTCACTTCTGAAACACAGCGAGCATTAGAAGCAAAATGACTTTTTTTTTAAAGCCTGTACCCAAGCGGTCAGCTGGAGATGCCAGGAGTGGAAGAATCTCCCTTCAAAGCAAGGGCTGCTTGGCTGGGTTGCATCCAGCCGCAAGACGCAGAAAGGGGGGGGCTTTGCATTTCCTCGGTGAATTCATACTGTTGGCCTGATCATGGTGGAAACGGGGCTAGGAAAGAATGAAGTTCTGGATTCGGCGAGAGGACAGAATGGACGATTCATTGTGAATGTCGAAGAAGTGTGTGTACAGGCAGAATCGAAAAACGGGCTGATGCCGGTGCTTTTGAAAACTTTGCGGATGGTACATGAGTTTTCCCTCTCTGAGGTCCCTGTCATTCTCTCCATTTGCTTTTCGTCACCCCAGGGGTGGGGAGAGGGGGGCACGGCTGATTTCTGGGGCCTGCGGCCAAAGCACGGCTTTGGAAAAGGTGCACGGAAAAACTACTGCAGGGTTTGGGACCTCCACCGGTCTCGTGAGTTGTAAAAGCGGCAAATTTGTAAATCGGATACTCTGTAAAGACCGAAAAGAACATCACGGACTCTATAAACCTGGGGCAGCAGAATAGAAGGCGTACAGCGCACGGAAATAAATTGAGATGACTTCAGAGACCAAACGGGTCTATGGGGAGATTGTTTTAGCGAATTCGTGAAACGATCATGCAGAACAGAAGCTGCAAGAGAGAGAGAGATCAGAGTTTCAGAATGTTTCAGTGCCAATGCTAATCTGCACAGACCTGTTTGCACCTTGTGTTCATTACTGGAGGTCTGAGAAGATCCTTCTCCCTCTGATTTCTGGGGCATTATCCTGTTGGGGAGCAAAGTTTTGTTCTGTTGCTCCTCAGAGATGCTTCCAGGACAGGTGGAAACAGGTTTGATTCTTACCAGGCCCATGTGGACCTTTGGATTGATGATTGATTTGGATTTGCTGTCCAGGTTTCTTTCTTTTTTTGGATAGACTGGGTTATTATTGTTTTCCGATTCCCTTTAGGTCATGACGACTTGTGGCTTCCTTCACTCAGTCTGTCCATCGCCCGTTAGGTCTTTCTCTTCTTGTGCTGCCTTCGTTTCCTACCATGATTGTCAAGACTGTGAGTCTTGTCTTCTCACAGTATGCTTAAGCTACGGCAGCTTTGCTTTAGCTACCAGCAAGAGTTGAAACATGATTTATTTATGTGTCAAAATTTGCAGGTGGCTTCTCATTAAAAAAACAAACAAACCTAAGCCATGTTTTTAAAAAAATTAAATAACAGCAGCATGTATAGCCCATAGCGTAGGCCCATATGAAGATTTTTCTCTTCCTTGAGTCAGCCATGAACCAAAAAGGAGACTGAAGTCAAAGAGAGCTTGAGACTCTGAAAGGACAGCCAGGAAAAGATTCTAGAGAAGTGGTTTCCCAGCCTTGGGTCTCCAGATGTTCTTGGCCTACGACTCCCAGAAATCCTGGCCAGCACAGCTGGTGGGGAAGGCTTCGGGGAGTTTTCAGTCCAGGAACATCTGGGGACCCCCAGGGTCGGGAACCCTTGTTCTACCGAACAAGTGCAATCGGTAGATGAGCCTTGTGTGAGAATCAAGGCAAAAGAGCTCTCAGATCCTCTTCCACTGCCCAGTCTCTTCCTTTTCCACACCAGGCACAGCCCTTCCCTCCTAGTGGGTCAATCCGATGGTATTAGACAGCTATTGTGGTTTCCGCAGCTTCAGAGGTTGTGGACCAGATTTTTAAACCCATTCTGTTTGCCTCCCAGTGTGCAAATTTTAAAGAAAAGTCAGCACAAAAAGGCACGTTTCTACGGACAGAGGTGTGTGTCTTTTTCTCCACGTTTTGGTGGGAGAACCACGTTACAAATGTATGCAGAATGAAAAGGACCCCTGCTTTTCTGGCTTTCAGGTTAGTTAAGAAAGCACAACTTTGTCCTATATTAAAATAGGAACCAAAACAATTTTTTTCCTGCCTCCTTCGAAGGGTCTACCATGGAGATTCCCAGGCAGAAGTTCCCGTTTCCAGAAGCTCCTTGTTTATTCCTCTTCATTCAGAGCCTTGCTTTGCACATGTTCTGCCTTAAAAGACCAGCAGAAGGCTGCTTGCGTGCCACCTTAACTGATAACTCCCTTTCTCTCCCCTTCCCTCCTCCAGATGCTGGAAAACTGGATAGTGACCATTCTTGTGTCTGTCGGCGTGGGCTCGGTGCTTTTTATGGTGGCGCTGTTCGTGCTGCTCCGAAACAACGCCCACGCGAACATCTTTTGGAACGAACTCGTCCTAGAGAAAATCACCAACTTCGTCATGGACCAGAGCAAAGAGCAGCGCATCTTGAACTCGGTGTCGTACAACGCCATCAAAGGGGATGCGGAGAGCGTCCTCGATTGCATCGACAAGTACTGCTCCCAGAAGGAGTGGGCCATGAATGTAGGCGATGAGAAAGGTAAATGACAAGGACTTCCTCGGGTTCATCACTGCTGGCTTTAGATCCGCTTCGTAGTTAAGCTTGCTTGATCGCCAGAGGTGACCGGGACTTCTGTACAGGCGAGTTGGAGGACGATAGGCAGGTGGATGGCTCTGTTTCCTCTCCAACAACTTGTTGTTTTTCACTGTTGGAAACCAAACACTGTGCATTTTAACTGTTGTAAACTATATCCTTGCTAATTAATATCGGTGAACCGTTAATCCTGCTTTCTCGTAAGATAAGACCAGGCTAACTAACGTTGCAGGAGTCCTTGTAACTGGACTTTGTTTGAAAGCGACAGTGAGTGAATCTGAATGGGTGTTTCGGTACTTGGTTTCTTCTTCCCCAGCTGCAATATTTTCCTCCTCCCATCAAGCTGCGTTTTCCCACCTAACGGGGAAATAATGGGCGTCTGTTTTGTGTGCCTGTCTTTTTTGCCCTAGTGAGGCCATTTCTGCAGCCAGGAGGCAGAGTATAATCCGTGCACAGGTGCGAAAGGATTAGCTGTGCTTTGTCTGGTATCTCGTCTGATTTCTACCCAGCTGGTTTTGAGAAAATAAAAAGAGTGGGAAAGAGAGGGCAGATTTTCTGTCCTGTGTCTAATTTAGATGGAGTGGGTCTTAGGGAAATCAAGGTACAGTGGTGCCTCGCTTGACGACGTTAATTCGTTCCAGCGTAATCGCTGTAGAGCGAAAATGTCATCAAACGAAATTTAAAAACCCATTGAAACGCATTGAAAACCGTTCAATGTGTTCCAGTGGGCTGAATGCCTGCTTGTCCAGCAAAGATCCTCCATAGGGGCAGCCATTTTCGGTGCCTATAGTGTGAAAAATCAGTCCTAAAAACAGCGGGGGGGGGATTTTCTTCAGCCCGCGGCCATTTTGCTGTTTGCTGATCGTTGTAAAGTGAAAATCGGTTCCCGTAGCAGGAAACTGATCATCGCACCGCAAAAAAACCCATTTAAACCATCGTTTTGTGATTGCAAAAGCAATCACAAAAACATCAACGTTAAGCGGATTCATCGTTAAGCAGGGTAATTGTCCAGTGGGGCATGACTGTACCTTCCACTCACCCACTCTTCCAGCTCAGTTTCCCCATTTGTAAAAAAAAAATAAAAAATTTTTGATGGAACAAAGGCTCCCAGCGGCTTTGGTCATCTGCTGCGTCCCTGAAGCCCTACGTCTGGGGACGACTCTGGCCTGTCAGGATGAGATGGATGTAAAGCTCACGGCATCTTCCAAACAGAAAGGCTTCAATGGCAATAAGAGACACGCTGTATATAAACCATGGCTTGAAAGTTGAGAGTGCAGATTCCCCCGCGGGGCCTCCTTGACTCAATGATCCGTAGGGTCCCTTCCATCTCTGCCGTTCAAAGAGGATGATGACGATGACGTACTTTCTTGGGCTGAAACTCCCAGAATCAACCTGTACGATACCCAGGAACCTTCAGAAGACATCAGGACCGAAATTGTCCCCTCTTGCTTTCCTTTAGGAAGAAGAGCTTAGTTTGCTTGGAAAGGGACGCGGAAAGCAGATGAGTGGACCGTTGTTCTCCTCCGCTGTAAAATAATGGGTTTCTCTTTCCACTCCTGTATGCCAGAAGGGGGGTATTCATAATGTCTATAATCTAAGTCAGTGGTTCTCAACCTTGAGTCCCCAAATGGGGACTTCCTTTGCCTTTATGGAGACCCAGTTCAACAGCCTTTAAGAGGAAGGATGCAATGTACAAACCTAGACCGACTTAAGCACTTGTTTAAATATCTCCCCCTTTGAAATCTACAAGACTTGTGTGTGTGTGCTTAGATTTTGATGGGCTGTTCCCTGGATATTCTGCTAATTCAAAGCCGAGTAGTCGCAGCCATTAGTGCTGTAAGAGAGGATGCTTTGTTTTAATGTCGAGACAGGAGCCGCCTCAAAGATTTATGGGTTGCAGGGGGTGAGTGTCTGGTATTAACGTCATAAAAGATCTATGGCAATGGTTTATGTTGCCTTTGGGTCATAAGGGAGACATAATTGATGAACGGCATGCCTCGGTAGTCCAGAGACTGTACTGTTGATGTGCCTTTTATAAGCAACTGTCTGCGTGGGTCTTAAGAATGGGTTTCGCCCGCAGCCTATTTAGATTTTTGATATTTTAGGGCATCATTGCTTGAGAACATTAAGGATGGAAATATTTCTACCATAAGGATGAAGATGATGATGTTGATGATGATGACAATAACAACAATAACGCTAACAGCAAATGCCAACTCTGCCAAGATGAAACTGTGTCCCACCTCATCTGCGAAAATCCAAATATTCTGCAAACAGATTACAAAGCAAGGCATGACAGAGTAGTAAAATTAATACAACGGTCACTATGTGAAGATATAAGATCCCAGAACCTGTGGGAACATCAGGCAGAGAAGGTTTCAGAAAATGATCAAGTCAGGATATTGTGGGATTTTCGGATTCAGACAGACAGAGACTTCGAGCATAACACACCACAGATGGCACTGGGATTTTCGGATTCAGACAGACAGAGACCTCGAGCATAACACACCACAGACGGCACAGTAACAGAACAAAGAAATGGCAAATTTTCTGTCCTGTGTCTAATTTAGCTGGAGTGGGTCTTAGGGAAATCAATGGCAATTCCAAGGGATGACAGAGTTGGAAATCAAGAACTGGAAAAACTAACAAAGGACAGAGACCTGGCGACCAAAACATCTTGCTTGTGGATGAAACACACTTCAGTGGTCCCCACAGTCAGAGAGGCTTCGGGAACCGGAAACACACTTCAGTGGTCCCCACAGTCATAGAGGCTTTGGGAACCATGCCGTGGAATTTTATAAAATATTATAATCAGTTGCCGGTTTCTGAAATAACACCATCAGAGCTGCAGAAAACAGTAATATTAGGAGCAACATACATACTCCACCGATATTTAAGCTTTTTGGTTAAAACGTGTAGCCTTTCAATAACATCTGTCAATGTATTTATGCGGCACATTAAAACTGTGTTTTCAATGTAAACCCAGTATTTAGAAATGAAACAAAATACTGATCAGCACAGGCAGCTCATGGCCAGGCCGAGGAAGGGGTTCTGCATTTTGGGACGAGACGTGCCCAATTTTTGGTAGATGAACCACCCCCTAAATTTTACCAGTTTGCAACAGGCACCGTGTAGGGTCTTTACCAGTAAGGAATTATTTGTATTAAACGGCCCTGTCTTTATATTGTTCTGACTGGCAATTCATAATCTGTGGTTTTTAAAGAAAAATGCAGCCTTGAAACCAGGCTGAATGAGTCATGTTTTAGCCCCGTTGGTTTGGCTCCCCAGAGGTTGCTTGTTGTCTTCCAAAAAATCTTGTTAGTACAGCCCGGGGTCAGGAATTCGGGAAACGGTCGTCCAAGAACATCTGGAGGCTCAAAATCAGGAGGCTGGTTTTGTCCCATTGGAACTTAAGTTCATCCTGAGTGAGTTTATTGCAGGCATCCCAGGGCATCAGCTGGAAAATGGATTGGGAGGGGGCGGGAATCTGACCTGCATCTTCTACAGGAATTCAGGAAACGGTCGTCCAAGAACATCTGGAGGCTCAAAATCAAGAGTCTGGTTTCGTCCCATTGGAACTTAAGTTCACCCTGAGTGAGTTTATTGCAGTCATCCCAGGGCATCAGCTGGAAAATGGATTGGGAGGGGGCGGGAATCTGACCTGCATCTTCTAGAGTCTCATGTGTTGCTGACTGGGCCTGATGAGATTCGTGAGCCCCAAATCCTGAAGTCCAAAACTTCTCCACTGTCTGGGTCCAACGGATAATCCACTTGGCTTCCCTTGTTAATCAGTTTCATAAGATATAACCAAATCTATGTACTCGCTGGTCATTCATTTGTAGCTTTTGCTAGACCTGCAGGTTTCCCATGTAAACATAACAGCTAGCCTTTCCCGTGTTCTAGTCCAGGGATAATCATTCTGAAACCTTCTTACTTAAATAACAAAAAAAGGTACTGTCCATGCATGGATGGGTGATAAGAAACTTGATTTTCTCTTTGCAGCTGTGCTGCACCCCTTATGTGATTTGTGAGGATTCCTGATTTCTGTGGTCTAGCCCGGAAATTATTTTCTTTCCCCCTTTTTTTGACTTGCATTCAATGGGGCAGACCTGCCTGCCCTTGTTTTTCTTTCCCCATGTTTGGGTATTTTTTCCTGGAGCTTGTTTGCCCTAACTATGGTGTTCATTTAAAATCAGTTAAGGAGGGGGAGAATCCAATGGGCATGTCTCCATATAGCTCAGAGGGTTAGGTCTCTGGCTGTGGAGTGTGAGGTTGAGAGTTCGATTCCCTGCTAAGCCTGCTTGGCAGAGGCTCGACTTGATCCACTGGATCCCTTCCATCTCTGCAGTTCTAAGAGAGTGATCTTTTCCTCCTAGCTGATGCTCTGTATTGGGGCGGGGTAGGGGAAATACAGCAATAAGAGGGAAGCTATTTGCAGTTCGGGGAAAGGATCTAGCTAGAATACAGAGTGCAATGGGGGGAATCTAGGAGGCAGCCTTAAACCTGTACAGGATGTGGCCGGAGAGAGAAATGCTATGTGTTGGCCCCTTGACTCCAGCCTGTATGGAGCTCAGTCACCTGATAAAAGGGAGCAGAGTCATTTTAATGGTTTGTCTGGTTCTGGAAAGAAGATTGTAAGTTTTGTCCTGAGACACCTCTCCCTATGCCCCTGCGTTTTAGAAAAACGGGATAACTCAGTGGCTTAGGTCTCTGGCTGCGGAACCAGAGGCTGGAAGTTCAGTTCCCCACCACAGCTCCAGGGAGAAGAACCAGCCTGGGTAGCCTTGGGCAAGCTGCAGAGTCCCAGGGCTCCCCCTAGGGGAAGGGAAGGGCCAAGCACTTTCTCTACATGGAAAGTCCCGAAAAGGGTTGCTGTAGGTCAGAATTGATTTGACTTGTAGGCATCCTTCCGTCTCGAAAGACTATGGTAGCGTGCTCTGTATGGAGGACTTGGAACAGCGTCTAGTGTGGCTGAGGAGGCCAATTCGAGAGTTACAATCCCTTCCACACTGCAGACAAATCCAATCTGTCCCCTGTCCAGCTCCCTGGTTTTGCTTCCTTTGTGACTTCCTCTTTGCCTCGGCCTGCTGGACAAGGGTCTCTTCAAATTGGGAGAGGCCGTGATGTACTGCCTGCCTCCAGGCTGAACGCTCAGATGTCAGAGTTTCCCATCTGTTGAGGTCTATTCCTAAGGCCTTCAGATCCCGCTTGCAAATATCCTTGGAGGTTGTTCATGACTTTGTGTACCTTGGCTCAACCATCTCTGACACCCTCTCTCTAGATGTCGAGCTGGATAAACGCATTGGGAAAGCAGCTACCATGTTCTCTAGACTCACAAAGAGACTATGGCTCAATAAGAAACTGACAACACATACCAAGATCCAGGTCTATAGAGCCTGTGTCCTGAGCACACTCCTGTACTGCAGTGAGTCCTGGACCCTTTGTGCCTGGCAGGAGAGGAAGCGGAACCCCTTCCATATGCGTTGCCTCCGACGGATTTTTGGTATCACCTGGCAGGACAGAGTTCCAAATAGAGTAGTCCTAGAACAAGCTGGAATTTTCAGCATGCATACATTACTGATTTGACAGCACACTATGATTAGTAGTGTTAGTATTATTTAGTAGTAGTAATAAGTAACGACACTCCAACTCCTTTTGATTGCTAAACTATAATAAACCTCTTCCTTCTCTCCACTCTGTCCCTCTTATCTAGGTTTAATCCTGGACAAGATTGTAAAAGAGGCAGACCCAACCGTCGCTCTGGAGCTGGGAACGTACTGCGGCTATTCGGCCGTAAGGATCGCTCGGCTCTTGAAACCGAGCGCCCACCTGTTTTCCATTGAATTCAACGCGGAATTTGTACCCATCGCAAAAGAAATTATTGAGATTGCGGGACTCGAGGATAAGGTACGGTTGTGTCGAAGTGCGGCCGCAGAGGGCTGTGTTTTCATCTGGAGGAAGGGTGATGTGTTTGTATTTCTGTTTCATCCCTTTCTCTTCACGATCAGATAGTTAAGAAATAGATAAAACCACCTGGTAGCCCCATGAACGAGCGATCTCCAAAATAATCCTGTCCTCAACGGCCCTCCGCAGCTCTCACAAACTCAAGCCTGTGGCTTCCTTTAGGGAGTCGACCCATACTCGTATTGGGTCTTCCTCTTTTCCTGTTGCTTTCCACCTTTCCCAGCATGAGGGTCTTTCCCAAAGAAAGACCAAAGTAGGACAGCCTCAGTTTCACCATTTCTGCCTCCAGAGAGAGTTCAGACTTGATTTGATCTAGGACCCAGTTGGAGATGGACAATTAAGAGCAAACAGAGAAAGTGCGAAAATTCTTTTGTTAAAGTCTTTTGACTTCAAGCGGTTTGCCGTTGGGGTGGAGGCCTCTGCCTCCTTGCCTGGGTTGAAGGACAGTACAACTGCAGGTCAAGTCGGCTTCTGTGGGTAGAAATTTGCCCTGCAGCAAAATGTGTTTCTCCCCCCCCCCAAGTTGAAGATACCTGTTTTTATAGTACAGTGGGGTCTTGACTTGAGAACTTAATCCGTATTGGAAGGCGGTTCTCAAGTCAAAAAGTTCTCAGGTCAAATCTGCATTTCCCATAGGAATGCATTGAAAACCATTTGATCCGTATCTGCTCTTTTCCATCCATAGAAACTAATGGGAAGCTGCTATTCTGCCTTCGACCACTAGAGGGGGATATTTTGTTTCTTTTTTTCTTAGGTCAAGAAAGGTTCAGGGAAGGCAGGGAAAATACAGTCCAGGCAGTACAGTACCAGGCAGTCCGAAGACTGTCTCCCAATCCACTCTCTAAACGCTGGGAGGAGTGAGGAAGCAGACAGACACCCTTTTCACTGGCCAACAGTTAATTGAAAGTTCAAATTTTGCACTTTCCCTGCCTCCCACGTGGTTTTTTTTCAGTTCTTAACTCAAATCTAAGTACTTAAGTCAAGTCAATATTTTCCTATGAGAGTGGTTCTTAAGTCAAAATGTTCTTAACTCAAGCCATTCTTAAGTCAAGACCCCACTGTAGTGGGACAAATGCAAGTTTAAGCACATGGGCAGGCAACGCACAGCCTCTGGGTTGCCTGCAGCCCCCCCAGGGCATTTGTGCACTCCTACCTCCCATTAAAAAAATATGGGGAAACTACTGGGGTTCCAAAGGCCCTTCGGTTCTTTGCAGGGCACAAGGAGAAAACACTTCGTGCTTTAAGGAGGTTCCAACCACCTGCGATCACCATGGTCTCCAATTAAAAGAAGTGTGGCCACTAGAGGGCACCAAGGAGCTTTCAGGTTTTAGGAAAGGGTCACCCATTTTTTTAAAAGGGAAAAAAACAGGGGTGGAGGTGAGGGCGAGAGCCGTGACCCTCCAGAGTCCAGGGGTGGGCATGTACGGTCCTGACTGTTACTCATGTCTGGTTTAAAGCAGAAGCTTTATCACTATGATCCTTAGTCTGGCTAGCACGAATCCGGGATGAGCGGAAACGGAAACAACGCCAATAAAGGTGAACGTGCTGTGTTGTGTATCTTCTGCTTGTGCTGAAACAGGCCAGCCCGGCTCCCTCTGAAGGAGGACCTCATTGAAGTGCCACCGGGCACAGAAAGGGCTTTCCCCCTGCATTCTTTTCGCCCTTCATTCTGGGGAAAACCCGTCTCTTCTTATATTCAATTGCCCTCTGTCTGCAGCGTTCTTGCTGTGAGGATCTGACGCCGAGCCCCATTGACTGAGCCCAAAGTCTCCCTTCCTGATACCAAGAGAATTAAAATCCCCTTTACCAGTAGCAAATCCATCTTTTCTTTAACCCTACCCAGAAAACAAGATTTGGGGGAGGAAAAAGTGAGGCTGATTTGTTATAAACACAGGCCAGACCTGGGATATACGCTGGCCAATAGCGACATTTCGCTTTATTCGCTGAGGTCATTGACCGGCACGGTGAAGGGAATCGGCAGTGATAGTAAAATGACCAGCAGAGCTCACGTACCGAGTTCTGAAATCCAGTTGGAGGAACCAAATCCTCCTCATTGGAGGGCTTCCTCTCCAGATGAGTTTCCTCCAAGTCCATGGGTCACTAGATAACTGAATTTCCTTGACACGGCTCAGGTAGTTCATCTGCAGAAGCAGCGTTGCGCTAGATCCTGCCAGCAGCTACAGGAGCTTTACCAGTCAGAAGATAAGAATGAACGGGAATGCTCAGCGGATCTCCCCCCCAGGGCAGAGACAGGCCAAGTACGGGCTTCTAGAGGTTGTCGGCGCTGCAGGTTCCTGACAGTGTAGGAGCCTGGAAGGGGGGGGGAACTCTGCTTGGCCTAGCAAGACCCTCTGAAAATGCCCGCCCTAAATCCCTCTTCAATCCTAAACTCTGCACTAAGCCATTGAGTCCTGGCGGTTGCTCAGTGCTCATTCTGGGTCCGTTTTTAATGGGGAGGGTTTTGCTTTCAGGTGACCATCCTTGAAGGCCACGCGCAGGACATTATCCCTCAGCTGAAGACCAAATACAACGTGGATACATTAGACTTTGTATTTCTGGACCACTGGAAAGACAGATATGCCCCGGACACTATCCTTCTTGAAGTAAGTAGGAGCAACGACTCCCTTGAAACCTTGAGCTGTTTAGGGTCTCCTGTCCACCACCGTGAATTTTTTTTTTCCTTTTTAAATTGTACAGATTTTCTCTCACCCTGGTTGCTAATGCTTTGCTTATTCAAGATGTGTCTCTGGCAGTTCATTGTAATTGAATAATGATTATAGGCTGCCAGGTTGGTTCTGACTTAGGAAAACCTTTCTCAGAGTTTTCTGGGTATATAGTACTCTGAAGTGATCTACCCTTTTCTTCTTGGGGGGGGGTGTGTGTCCTGGGACTGTGCAGTTTGCCCAAGGCTACACAGGGTGGTTCTTCTCCTCCAAGAAGCAACAGGGAGTCAGTCTCCTGACCAAGCAGCCAGGTAGCCAGATCATCACATTTCCATCCATCAGAAGCTAGATGGACAGACTGGGTACAGTGGGGATGATGCTGTCTCTGCTACAGTAAAGTGCTGTGGTTGCAATTTGAAGCTTAACTGCTAAATCTGCAATACGGGTGGAGCAGAGGTCAGCTGCAAATCAGTTCAATTAATGCACACAGTCACTGTGTAGGAGATTCCAGGTTCAACCAACTGTATTCTCAAAACCTTGACACTTCAGAAGCCTGTTGTCGGTAGGGAAACAAACAATGAATGAGTTGCATGAATGCAGAGCCCTTTACGGCTTCAGATTCCCACTCCCAAGTATGTGGTTCATGTTGGCTGTCATGTGATGGGAGTCATAGTCCAACAGATGCTGGTGATGTGAGATTGGGAAGAGCGGGCAAGGAAACATCATCCTATGTTGGGAGCTCCCTTTGGTTAAGGAGCTTTGTTTTGTATCCCGAGATCGATCGATGGCTTGCTAGCAAAGGACGGGTCCCTTAAAAAAATCTGTCCTTTTATCAGGTCTTCTTTCAAATGGTAAGTCTTGCATACATTCCTGGGAGTTGCATGAAAAACTCGTTTCATTCTTGGGCCACAGCACAAGTTGATCTTAGAAGGGGCTAAATCCAGCCCCGCTCCCAGCTAGAAACACACACTCCTTGTATGTCCTTGAATCTGATACAGCCGGAACCTGCACTAGGTTTAACTTAAGATGGCTCAAGCACAAGGGCTAGTAAAACATTTACATTTTGGTCAAACCTCAATGCAAGAGTCTTAAGCTGGATGTAGCAGTTCAGAACAAAGCTGTTCAGGTGGGACAAGCTTTCGTCCACCAGGAGAGAAACTACATTGAGAGGGGTGGATGCCCTGGCAAGTGTTGGATTGGGCCCATTTGAGAGACAGGAAGTGCTTCTCTGGATCAGAGGTTGGAACATGACTTCTAAAAAATACATATATATTTTTTGTTCTTTTAAAATAAAACCAGCCACTATCTTGTTAGATGTTGACTGTGTGTAGAACAACCCATTTCCAGCATGGCGTCTCTTTTAATGTTGGAGCAAGAGAGAATCCACTAACCCTTCACGCAAGAGCAAACCCTGGTTGGTTGTAGCAGGATGATCGGCTGCTTGCATAGCTTGCAATGGCCCGGGCGAACAGGGCACAATCCAGCTGCAAAATCCTTGCACTAGGCATAAGTTTAGCAGGAGACTGGCCAGGAACTTGTTAAGATTGTTTGCAATTTAAAATGTTGACTCATTATTAATGAGTTATTATTTAGGGGCATGAGCGCACGGGGGGGGGGACAACTGCCAAAAGCAGCATTTTAGGAGCTGAGAGTAACTATTGCTAGTAGAGATGCACAAGTGGACGTAATGAGGGTCCAAGCCCTGTGGAGCTGGACGGTCCACTCACCAATCCGCTGCTGCCATGGGCGCCATGGAGCCTTCCGATGTCTCTGGAGATCGCATTTGGCGAGCAGATCTTGGGCCCAGCAGAGAGGCTTGTCATCCCGCCTCCTGCCAGGGGTGACAAGCTGAACACAATCTCCGGAGCCATTGGAAGGCTCTGCGGTGCCCGCGGCGGATCGGTGAGTGGACCGTCCAGCCCCATGGGGCTGGACCCTCGTTATGTCCACTTGTGCGAGGGGATTCGTATACTAATACCCCCATCTCTAATTACTAACTATTCACCAGCATGGTAATGCAAGCCCTTACTTTAACATTCATTGGGGTATTTAAGCATGCAGAAGAGCAATTGCCAAAGTTGCTAATTGACAGGGTGCCAGTCACAGATCACTCATGTGCCTGTTCCTCTACCCGATTGTGTGCCTTGACAATTGGCCACAATTAGTCGCTGCCAACATCTACCATTCCTCTTGTGCATGGATAAATTTCCAGTAGGATTTTGGCCAGTGTAGGATGTGACATTGTGCTGAAACAATAGTTAGAAGTAAAAGTAATGTCATAGGCATATAGGAGAAAGCTTTCTTATACTGTATTGAAACTATTGATCCAGTCAGGCTGGGATAGCCCCTTCTCAGTGTTGATGGCTTTTATGCATACCCTTCCAAGCTCTTATTGAGTGTTTCGTGGGTCTCCCATCCATCCATTAACCAAGCCTAACCCTGCTTAGCTTCCATGTCAAAGGTGGCATTATCAATCAATATTCGTATTTGTAATGTGTTACTTCCCAGCTGCTGCAGATGGCCTCCTGCTACTAGTCTAAAACTCTTCACAGTTGTTTTGTCTTTGACTTGTTTCACTTCCATTTTGGTGGTCAGAAAAAAGATGGAGAAAGCAAAGGGAAAATGTATGGTTGGGTCATACATTGTACAATGTTGTCCTCTTGAGCCCTTAGGGCAGTTATTTCCAACTTTGGATCCCCAGGTGTTCTTGGACTCAAACTCCCAGAAGCCTTCACTACTTGCTGTGCTGGACAGGATTTCTGGGAGCTGCAGTCCAAGAACATCTGGGGACCCAAGGTTGGAAAGCTCTGCCTTAGAGGATTCCAGGAAGGAACAGCACCATGACATAATAACAGCACCTAGAGAGGAAAAAGGAAGCGGTAACGACTGAGTATTCAACATTCATTTTTTAAAATAAATGGTAAGCCAAACAGAAGAACACCCTTAGTTTTAATTGTGAAAATCAATGAGAATTCAAATGAGGTCAGAATGCCAACAAGTTTGTCTTTCTAGTGGTTCAGTACATGTTTTTATTGGAATAAAATGTGGAAACTGCCTGAAATGACTAATGCAGGTCACAGAAAAGTTAGGTTTTGAATGGAGGGGGGAGATGATGGGATACAGAATAGGCGATGTAAATGAAGTGGGGGAACGCTGTGTCATCTGCGTCAAAAACGCAGACCTCCAAAGCTATGGGGAAAGTGGTAGCGTGCCATTACACCATTTTTGTGGAAAGCACAAATGTTAGAAGACGAAGCAGGGTGTGTAGGTCTCCCAGTGAAGTCAATGGAAGGAAAGCAAACAGATTTCTAACGTATGCAGAGGAAAACCCTCCCTGACTCCTCCGCGGCCTCTTTTCTCTCTTTCCAGCAACACGGCCTCTTGCGGAAGGGCTCCATTCTCCTGGCGGACAACATCGGCTTCCCGGGGGCTCCGGACTTCCTCAAGCACGTCCGTAACAACGAGCACTACGAGTGCACCCATTACCCCTCTCACCTGGAGTACATGAAAGCGCCCGACGCCATGGAAAAGGCTGTGTACCTGGGATAGAGAGAAAGAGCGTTTTAGCTAGCATCCTGCTTCCCTATGTTACATGTGAGCACACAGAGATTAATCCCGTCTGTGCTGGAACCATAGTTTTCTCTAATTTGAGGCCGCTGGTATAAAAGAGGTTCTCTAGGAAATGGTGTAAACAAGAAAACTTGGTTTTAGAGACTACACTTATGCATAAATAGACTACCCAGCAGAGGCCTAGGCCCCTGATATTTGGGTTTTTTAACCCTTCTGTTGTGTTTGTGACCCCTTTCCTTGCAATTTGTCCCCTTGCTGGACTGTCTCTTTGTACAAAAAAACTGTAGACAACCGATTCTAAAGCCTAGGGGTTAAGCAGGCTTTTCTGTTTCACCACCCAAGCCGACCAAATTGCCTTTCTGAGCGTTTAGCATTGGGTCGCAGCCAGAGCCATTGTGCCTCTTCCAAGGGATCGCTTTGGCAAAAGATGTAGCAAGGTTTCTACCCCAAACCTAGTTGCCTTCCTTCAGAGCTGTCCTAGAACAGAGAGGCCCAACCCTGGATGCCTGGGAAAACACAGTGCACCCCTTGCTCCAGACCCCATCATGACCGGTTGGGCAGCAGCTATGCGTTAAGGCACACATGAGCTGCACAGGGCAATGGTGGAAGCCGTCCTTTGCGTGTGAATACGTAGTAGCCCTGCACACAGAATTCAGAGAAAGTGCCCATTCCCAACAGAATTGGCCTGATTTGACTGGATTTGTGGGAGATGCAGATATACAGTGGTGCCCCGCATAGCGAGGTTAATCCGTTCCGGATTAACCTTCGTTATGGGGAAACATCGTTAAGTGGAACGGGGAAACCCATTGGAACGAAGTTTAATGCGTTCCAAATGGGCCCAAAACTCACCGTTCTCCGATGTTTCACCATGTTCCGGCGGCCATCTTTGGTATCCCGGTGGCCATTTTTTGTGGTCCGGCAGCCATCTTGGGTGTCCGGCAGCCATTTTAGAACCGCCGAACAGCTGTTCCCCCATCGCAATGCTAGCATGCCCTCGCAATGCGGATTCATCGTTAAACGACGCGCTCGTTATGCTGGATTTGGTTCTGGGGGAAAGCAAAGTTGTTTGGGTCACATCAGACCGGGCACAAATCATTTCAGCCCACTCGATGGTTTGAGTTGTTTTTGTGTGGCCCACTTTAAAGGTTCCTCGCGCACAAGTGACTGGATCCAGCGGTCTGGAATCTGGGCAGTTTACACTCGTCTTTAGGGGCTATCCATGCAAAAACAAAAAAAGTTGAATCCGGTGGGTCAAAACCAGAAGTGTTATAGAGTCCTTTTAGCTTTTCACGGTGCATTGCATTTTATGAATTTACAAACAGAGCCAAATCCAAGGGCATGTATCGAATCAGGGGGAGCATAAACCAGTGCAGACTGACCTGGGATAGAGTCTGGAGCTTTGCACTGAGCTTAAAAATGGAACTCAGGCGGAGGCAGGGAAGACATACGCATACTCCTGATAAATGATGCAATTTGAGCACCTGTGCATATATTTGCATTTTTTTTAGTACCATGCAAGTCTTGGGGAAGTAAGAGAAGTTGTTTCTTCCCCTCTAGTTCCAGATACGGATTCAAATCCAAATCAGAATGTTTTCTTTAAAAACAAAAGGATCTGTCAACATTTTGAAGGCAACCCTGGAGACCTCCTCTGTTGGAAATCCCGTGCCATGCCTTCCAGCAGGGAGACGGCTCCTCCAGTCTGCCCACCTATGCCTGATCGCTCGCTGCCATGTGCTTAACCGCACAGAAAGGTCCCTTTCCCTCTTGTGCTGTTTGGGTGATTTGCTGCTTTTCTACCAATTTAAAATCTAGTGATTAGAGAGATGCTAAAGCGGGAGTGCACCTTCACGATGGGTGGGCCGTTTGAGACTTGGTTCACACTTTGACATTTTTGTTCCTTGCCAAAAACCCACCAAAGGGCCACACCAGGAAGAGGCAAGTCTGAAAGAGTGACTTGGGAAAGTGTGTGCAGATCTGCATTTTAAGCTGCTTCAAAACATCTGCTCAGCGAAAGATGGGTGGGTGGGGGGAATTTAATAGGTTTTCATATGTCCGTGCACACTCAGAGCAAGAAAAGGCTTGCACACCAGTCCCTCCTTGTACAAATCTAATCCCATGCCTCCCAATTTTTGAGAGAAGAAAATCCAGTGGTAGAAATGCTCTTATGAACATGTAACATAAAGGCCCTGCTCTTGGTGGTCCATGTTTCATGGTACAGTGGCAGGAGAGAAGACAATGAGCAGAGTTACTTTCTAGGAACAAGCGCCTTCTGTACACAGGACAGATCTAAACCAATAAATATTCGTGGAAAAAAGAAGACATTAACAGGTCCAGGGTGGGGTGCCACGTTCTCCGGGAAGTCTGGGAAAGTACTGTGTAGTGCCACATAGTGCCTGTTTGGACCATTTAAGGTAGAAAATAATACATTTCTCATCCTAATGGCCTCCAGATGTTTTTAAGTCAACTCCCAAAATCCCAACACAACTGGATGACACCACGTTGGGAAAGGCTGACACAATACGTGCAGACCCCGTTTTCCAGTGCTGGCAACTACCTATTCCCCTTTGGGGCTGTGTTGCCAAACGTCACCACCGACTCCCAGGGGCTCGTAAAGCAGAACCTGGCGGACGAGAAGCATGTGTTGGAAAGAAGTGTGACAGGCACAGTTTTGCATACCTGAATGAGGAAGGATGATGAGGGGAGCTGCTTCCAACTAGAAGAGGCCATCTTGCCGGGATGTTGGTGGTCTCAGTGTTGCACTTTCACCTCCCTGCACCCAAGTAGACCACCCCACGTGGATGTCAGAGGGCGGTCTGGAATGACAGCTGGCAAACACTGCAACTTTTGGGTTTGTTGATTTCTTGGGCTTGTTGCCCAACAACTGCTGAGGCATATCCTCCTTTAAAGGTGGGAAAGACCTAAAACAGAGGAGCGCCCTTCTGTCCACACATAGCTTCGAAGGGGCCCTTGTCTATGCTTTCCGATTTATTAATAAAACTTAGCTTTTTTCCCAAAGAGAACCACTGGTGTCGTCGTTCTGCCTGCATTATGGGTTCCCGTTATTATCGACATGGCTGCAAACTCCTGTGTATTGTTTTGTTCTCTAGACCGCTCTTCGATATGCGTAGCCCCATCGTAATAAACAGTAAAATCATGGCAACAACATGAAGGAATCGCTGAAGAGGCTAAATGTCATAAACGGTCAAACGAGAGTTGCAATAAATATAACCACAATGTTGATGGCACAGATCTCCTTCCATGCCTGTAATGTTCACAACTGCTGTTATGGCAGAAGTGCAGTGGTTGGAGGGGGATTACTGAGGGCAACCGGACCCAAAGCTTTCCTTACCATCTGACATCCCCAGATTAACTGTTAGAGCAGTATGACAACGGAATCAGTGACCTCAGGAGGGGAGCGCTCCAACACTGGAGACATTCAAGAGAAAAGGGGACACCCATCGGTCAGATCTGCTTTGATTTGTGTTCCTGCATTCAGCAAGGGGGGGGGGTTGGACTCTATGGCCTTAGAGGCCCCTTCCAACTCCATTGTTCTGTGATTCTACTTATTTATCCACCTGTCGTGACTAATGGAAGATGAAATTTAGGGGGAAAGCTCCCTACTCCCACCTTTTTTGCTTACTGGTCGATTTCTTCCTCACCACTGTAGGATTGCTCTACCCAGAATTAAAAGTCTGGGGATCCCTCTGTCTCTCTCTCTCTTTTTTGTAAAGCCTGCTGGTGAAAACAATAGCACGAGGGAACAGACTTGGGGAAAGGAAATGGGTGCCACTGTTGAGAAAAAAAAAAGGCCAGTCTCCACATGCCTTGCTTCAGATGGTAACAGTAGCGGAGGAAAGCCTATAGTGAGTTGTTCAGTTAGGGCATGGATCTGCATTATACATACATACGTGGAGATTTTTATTGAAGCAGAAATGCTTATAAGGTCACCTGCCATCTTTTCCTCCCACACTGGTTCACCTGCACCAAGTATCCCTCAGGCTGTCCAGCTTCTATTTAAAGACCTCCATCATCTCCTAGGTCAGTGGTTTTAGGGTCCAACTGTTCTGTTTCTTCTAATGGCCTCATGATGCTCGAGTTGATTTGCTTTGTTTCTGTATTTTTATTATCATTGCTCTTGTTTGTTTTATCGTTCTTATTTTGTCTGATCTTCCTGATTGTTAGCCACCTATAATTGTGCCGTGCACTAATCGGTTGGTATAAAAGTCTAAGAAATAAATAAATAAGAAATAACGGTCAGGAGACATTTATCATCGCGTCACTGAAATCCTTTAGGTCTTGTGCTCCCTTCGGAGCAATAAAGAACAGGCTTCTCCCCTCACCTGTGGGGTAGCCTACAGATAACTGAACATATAGTGTATATGTTCGTTGCACCAGTGGAGAACCCCTCTCGTCATGAATTTGCTTGTTTACAATATTTTTACCCTGCATTTCTCCTTGGAGAGGCCACAAGGTGGCTTGCATCATTAAAAGACGATGTTTAAAGCTAAAAATACAAACACACTGAATAAAATAGTGAACAAAAAGCAACAGTTTTGATGCAGTAAAGCACAGCCCTCCATTCAAAAACTGAAGCCAAGCAGCCAGTTGGTGTTGGAAGAAGCTGTCTTTGTGTGAATCAATTGGACTGCCTGGACTGGGACAAAAACTCTGGTAACTTACACCAACAGAAAGTCTGCCTGCAGAGAAAGGTCTTTGCCTGCTCGCGGAAGGACAGCCAAGATGGGGCCAGATGGGTCTCCAGTGGGAGGGAGTTCCAGAGTCTGGGAGCACCCGCAGAGAAGATCCTGACTTGTGTCCCTCCCAAGTGCCCCTGTGAAAGTGGTGGGACCAAGAGAAAGGCCTCCCCTGAGGATCAAGGCTCATAAAGGGACACCCTTGAGAACTGAAAGCTTCAAGAGCTGAATTCCACCGAGGGATGACTTAAAACTCATATTACTAATCACTATATCTCAGGGGAGCCACTGAATTTTAGAATGGTAAGGATGGGCTTTAAAAATGTTGGGAAATGACCAAATCATAACGCCATGAGGAAGAGGCCATGGCCATTGAGATAAGTGCAGAGAGCTGGATCGGGCCCCTAAGAGAGCCACGTCCAGGCCTAGGGACCTAAGGTTGCCCAATTTTGGTACAACGAGAGACAACCAGCCCTCACCTCACGAGGCGGCAAGTGGCTGCTTGCATAATTATGTTATAAACCTCCCAGAGAGTGCTCTAGCGCTATGGAGTGGTATAAAAGTCAAAATGACAACATCAACAACATAGGTTCAGGCAGGTATATTTTCTAAATAAAGAATTAGTACGTCGTCATCGTCGTCGTTTAGTTGTGTCCAACTAAACAACTAAACGACGCTTATTATGGATTATTACATTGACCGCTTATTATGGATTCCTTTTAAGGGTGGTTGTTTTTAAAAATTTCCCCCGTTTTTCTTTCTGAGCAAATGATTGTCAGTTTTTAAATCCGTGTCTGATGTACTGAAAAACTCTTAATATCCCCTTTCCCCCTGATTCCAATCAGCAATCTCTCTGGGATCTTCCCCCCGCCAAAAAAAAGGACACAAACCTAGGTCTAATTAAGATGAATGAACCAAATGAGAAATATTGGCTGGACCCAGTGAATAATGATCTGCTAAAGCAGGAGCTAAAGATTGGGGTCGTTTGTGTTTTCTTGACAGCATCAAGGACTGTTTTTTTGTTTTAAATTAATGAACTCTACCTGAAGATAACCATCAAGGGCGGGGAGGGAGAGGAGGGAGATGGATGCTAT